AGTCCAGCCTCCAGGTGTTCAGCTGCTGGTGCTGACTGCTGGCTCTGTAACGAGGGGTGTTTTCACGCTTGGGGTGTGTCAAGGACGGACAGGCTGATGTGCTGTTAGCAAGGAAGAAGGCTGGTACAAACAAGGTAAGCAGCTTCAAAGTGCCAAGTGGGTCGCCTGGGCTTACACTTCCCAAGGGCTTCTGCAAAAATAGAGGTGTAATGGGCAGGGCTCTGAGCACCGCCAGGGATGCTGCAAACCCGAGGCTCGAGTGTCCGTTGTGACTGCGCTGTATCTGCTGCCTCGGACACAGGCACTGTGGGGCAGGACCTCACCCGAAAGCCTGCAGCAAGTGACACAGTATGAGAAGCTGTGTGAAGCTCTTAACTTTTCTCTTGAGGTGGGCAGGGCTGGACCATCTGATAGTCCCAGGCTCAGGTACCCCAGACTTGCTGCTGGTGCTCAGCTGTTACCCCTGCCTTGTAAAGAGGATGCGGTCAATGGGGTCGTGGCTGCTGGCATGAGGCTGCCCTGGAGCAAAGCTGCCAGGCCTCCCTGCTCTGCTGCCCTGCCCCTGCCCCTCGGGGTAGCTGCGGTTGTGCTGCCTGTGGAGTGCCAGGGAGAGCAAGTGCCCATGTGCACCGGGTACCAGAGAGGCTGCTGCTGCTCAGGGTCAGTGAATGAGGTAACATGAAGATGAAAGGCGACGTGACAAAGATTGGAAATAAAAAAGTTATTTGGGATAATAAAAACGAAAGGTGATTGATTGATGAGTTGCACTGATACTGCTGTGACCAAGTGGACAATGGAACAGCCCCTGGAAGTCTGTGTGCAGGGAAGAACCAAACTGGTACCTGCGTAGTCGTAGGCTAGGAACTAGTTACAGCTACTGGAGGGGCTTGGAGTCACCAGCAAGCTGCATGGAAGCAGCAAAGGTCGACAACAGGAGAACTTCCATTGCATCCTGTGACAGAGTAACGCTCATCAGAACTACAGCTTTCTCTGTCAGTTGCCCAGCCTTCCTCTTTGCGCCTTGTTTTTTTCTGAGGACACTCAGAAGGTCCATAAAAAGTGGTACAGTATGCAATTGGGATCGTGATACGATTATTATATCTAAAATTGTTCTTTTGGCTTTCATGGTCTGGCCAGGAGTTGAGATGCTTTCTGCTGGATATTGCAACTCCACTGTGGTTAAACAGTTTGGGAAATAAAAATCTCAAGACTGAATTCACCAGCAACTGTGTAATTTTATTTAGCATTACTCTAACTTTGTGCATAATGAGCTAATGGAAGGCTGGGTTCCTAATCTGACCTCCCCCTTTAGTTCCTTTTCCCTACAACATTC